ATGAACAAATTGTTAATAAAATGTTAATGAACTTTAAAGTTGACAATAGTGATCTCCTTGACTCATACAGAAAGTTTTGTGCAATTATTCTATTGGCAATCAAATTCTCTGGGCCCAGCTTAAACCATAACACAACTGATAGTAATAATAACCGTCCTAGAAAAAGGTGTCAAGTACCTTGGTGGAATGATAAATGTTCAAAAGTAGTAGAAGATTGCAAGAACGCCTACATTAATTTCAAAACTAGTCTTAATAGTATATATATTACATTAATTTGAAACGCGCACAAGCCTTTAAAAAACGCACTTTAAAAGCTTTCCGAGTTCTAACTTATTTTCTGACCTCAATTGGGTTCAAAAATTTTTATATAAATAGACACCGGATACTGTTTCACAACAGATAAGTATAGAAAATGTTCTTGGACTAAATAGTGATAATTCATACATGATCGGTTGTTTTACTCTGTAAGAGTTAAAATCTGCTTTAGCCTCAAGAAAAGATTCTTCATGTGGCCTGGATTGGCTTTCCTACAGAATGTTTAAACTTTTAAATGTTCAAACTCTATCTATTTTTTTTAAGTTTATTAAATAGTTTATGGTCATCTTCTATTATCCCAGAGGATTGGAAAACTGACTGTTTGGTACCAATATTAAAACCTGGCAAAGACTTTAATTTGGGTGATTCTTATCATCCTATTACACTGAGTTCATGTGTTGGAAAAAATTTCGGACAATTTATAAAACAGAGATTAATTTTTCACATAGAAAGTAATAATCTTTTACCTTACAATCAGTTTGGCTTTCGTTGTGGCCGTTCTGCTTGTGAGAGTCTACATCATTTCTGTCTGGATATCCACAATGCTCGTTCAAAGAATAAAGTACTAGTTGGTGTTTTTCTTGACATTGTAGGGGCTTTCAATAATGTAGATCTGAACAAATTATCCTCAATATTATTATTATTACTACAGGTACCTGGAAAAGTTGTAAATTGGAGGTCAGCAATGAAAAAAGTAAAGTTGTTGTCTTTTCAAAAAATGGAACTAGAAATAGGAATGTAAAAATTTGTTCAATAATAATGTAACGTCTGTAGAGAGCTCTGTAAAGTTTTTAGGTGTTATTTTTACAAACAATTCTAGATGGAATTAGTATGCTGAGACTCTAGAATCTCGAGCTTTAAATGCTTGTAATGTTTTGAAATCTTTAACAGGCACATATTGGGCTGATATCCAAGTATTCTATTAAAATTGTATAAATCATTAGTAAGGAGTCATTTCGAATATGCTTTTTTTTGTTTTGCAGGGGTAAGAACTATACCTAGTAGATAAATTAGAAAAGATACAAAATAAATGTTTGCGTATTATAATGGGTGCCATGTGAACTACTCACATAGTGTCAATGCAGGTGGAATGTAATATACCTCCATTAACACTTAGGTTTAAATACTTACAATCAAAACTTTTTGCAAGGTTGCTCTCCATCAGTAACCATCCACTTCTTGTTAAACTGCGGGACACTATTAACAGCCACTATTACTGCCAATATTAATTCATATTTGTTTCACGGTTTTTCTGAAACAACAAATTTTCAATAAACACAATATTTTTTCTAGCATGTTATGGCCTTGTTACTCTGGGTTATATGAATCAAAATTCATGCAGATTAAAATTGTAGTCAAGTCTCTGTAAAGTATAAGAAAGACATTTATAGGGAACTTGATAGGTGGCAGGGATATCATCAGATATACAGATATACAGATGGGTCTAGGAACAATGAAGCAGTCTCTATAGCTGTCTATGATAGTCAGATCAAAAGTGGATTTGGTCACTGGCTGAATCCACTCACAAGCATATACTCCGCTGAATACACAGCTATGGAACACATTCAAACACAGACTCATACTAAGTGGATTATAATAACGGATAGTTTAAGTTTATTAACGGCACTACAAAATCCACAATTAAATTCAAGAACGAATTATATTATATATAAAATAAGAGAGTTGTATCATCTGCTGTCTCAAAACAAGCAAATAGTCCTATTCTGGACACCAGCATACATTGGTGTGCATGGTAATGAGCAAGCAGACTATTTAGCTAAATTTATAACAAATCCGGCCCACAATCAATTAAGTCATAGCTTTTTAAATTTCCCAATTCCTTATTCAGATGTTCTATCCCTCTTCAAACTCAAGTAACAGAAAGAATTTTAAAACTTATGGCATCAGGTGGCAAAGGTAAAAGGTTAGCTACAATAAAGAAAAAGTTCTCTTCCCCCTGGTTTACCCGGCATAGTGACTATAGCCATAGAAAGTTTTATACCACAATCTGTCGTTTGCGTTTGGGACATTGTAGTTTTGGTGCTCACCTTTTTAAGATTGGTGTTTTTGACTCTTCAACTTGTAGATATTGCAATGATGAAACCCTCGAACATATATTTTTTGACTGTCCACATTTTAGTATTCAAAGGATGGTCCTTGTAGACCAACTTTTAAGTATTTTTAAAACTGCTGAAGATATCAGTTGCCAGTTTATGGCTTTATTGTTTCTACTATAAATTAAATCTAATTGTTATTTGTACATATGTATATAATACTAATTTTTTCGTTTTGTTTAAGATATTTGTTTTAAGCTATTTTCACTATTTGATCGTTTTATCGATTGTGATTTGTGAATTGTGACAAATGAATTGTACTAAAAATGACATTACAAGGACTTGACATTGGAAAAAGACGGAATGTAAAAAAAAAACAAGAATTTGACAAAAAAAATTAAATAAAGACATGGCTTCGACCTTATAATTAAAACATGATTTAAGAAGAAAATTAAAAGAAGACATGGCTTAGGCCTGATATAAAAACTTGAGTCAAGAATAAAAAAGGAGATTAAGACATTTAGTAAAGCAATAAAGTTATATTATTATTGAAAAATAATTAAAAATACAAAATACAAAAGACATGGCTGTATGGGCTTTGTTCTTTTTGCCTGTTCTAAACGGAACGAACACAACCAAAAAATAATAACCTAATCTATACTAATATTATAAAGCTGAAGAGTTTGTTTGTTTGAAAGCGCTAATCTCCGAAACAACTGGTTCGAATTGAATAATTCTTTTTGTGTTGGATAGTCCAGTTATCGAGGAAGGCTGTGAGCTATATAACATCACGCTACGACCAATAGGAGCAAAGATATAGTGGTAAATGTGTAAAAAACGGGAGAAATTATTTCATCTTTGAAGCCTTCCGTTGCGTGCGCCGTGAAAATGGTTCAAGATACACAAAAAATATGTATTAAAGAATAATAGCTCTTTTAATGATCTACAAAACTATATCGTATAGTCTTCTTCTTCTACCTGGCAATTTCCCAGCTATAGCCAGGGTCTGCCTTACATGTTTGAATAGTTTTTGGCTATTTGTTTTTTACGACCGGCCGCCTGCCTGACATCAACCCTCTTTTGGGAATCAACATTAATCAGTGATGTCTAAATACTCTTAGAAAGTACAAAACTATATCGTATAGTATATACGTCTATCTTTTAAGATTAACTCACAAGACCGTTTTTATGGTATCTAATTTTGTCGAAATAATTTGTTCAAGTTGTATCAAAATAATAATATTAATCTTTATTCATATAAACAAATAAATATGTTGATGGTTAAGAGTACTTCATTATTAATAAAAAAAACATAGGTTTCATCCTGAAAATTCTTCGGGAACTCGACCATTCCAAAAACCCCGCAAGAACGGGAACTATGTGGGAAGAACCAAAAATTTGTCGGAAGTAACTATTCCACGCGGACGAAGCCGCGGCAAAAGCTAGTGTTGTATATTGCATTAATTTGTCATTTGTTCTTGTGAATTGGCGGCAACTTTAAAACTCTTGTGACATGTGAAAACGAACCTTAAGTAAAATTTACTGTGAATGATTTATTTCGGTTAATGACATTCGATGCGGGTTCACTCAACAACAAACCTATGATAGGCTGCCATTAGGGTTTCTTCATGAAGCCCCATCTCGTGCCACTATTTACAATTATTGGTTTAACGTTTTTATTCGAGGACCGAGCTATCTCCGTGATGATCCGTGAGGCAAGTCTTTAACAGTGACTACTGAAGGTAACATCAGTGCCGTGCGACTCATGCTGCAAAGTAACCGAAACGTCGGGAGTATGTAATTTTAAAGATACTAAAATAGGGGAAATAATCCGAAAATATTAGTTTCATTTAAACATTAATAATATTCGCGCATTAAGTTACAGCAGTCTTATCAGAACGAATGTCTATATAGTTTATAAATCTCTCGACTACCTCTGAGCCACGAAAGTACTTTAAAACGATTACGATTTGTTCATCACCGCTTTATACAAGTTATTTAATTCGGAATATCCAGTGGAAATCCAAACATTCTTACTTTTATTATTTGAAAAAAACAAACAAGGAAAACAAAATAACTTATTTGTGTGTACACAACCTGCTAACTAATTAAAACTATCATAATACGTTTTATTAATTATTATTTACAAATATCATTACCTTTCTTTTAGGAGTGTGTGAAGGTCGGCCGGAGACCGGTCAGGGATTATAATAATAAAACTCAATATAATTTCACAGTTCTTACTTAATTTATCTTAACATATTATTTTGTTACATCGCTTGTTCGCCTCCGTCCCTCTCGGTCGACGCGTCATCATATTATTTCGTCTTGTTCTGATCCGTCTCAGGTCCTCGTTCAATAAGCTCATATTTAATTCACACAGCAACAGTCACATCACAACCACAGGGTCCGAGCATCGTCCGCGGACACTTGTACGAGGAGTTCAGTCGCACTATAAAATTACATTAACATGACATAAATTGACACCGGCTTCAGGACACTTACACCTCAAGAGTACACTTACAAAAATAAATACATCCGCACACCCTGCGCCCTCGGCCGCTCGAGGGAGGCTCACAGGAATCATCATTTACAATCAGGGTACAACATCCGACTCCCCTCGTGTCAGTGTTACCTCCTCCTCCTCCTCCCCTTCCTGTATCCCTTCCCGTACCACCCTCCGTCGTCGAGGGTCCGCTCGGCGGCCGGCGGCGGCTCGTCCTCTCCGTCCGGTCCGCAGCACGCGCACAGGTAGCGTCGTTCTCGCTCGCGGCGCCACGCGCGGCGCTCCGGGGGCGTGCAGCGAGTCGGACCGTACCACAGGCAGCGGCGGGATGAGTAGCGCCGCGCGCACCACACGCACTCGGCGGGCGGCGCTACGGCGGCCGGCGGCGGGGGAGGGAGCGGTGGCGGGGGCGGCGGGGCGGGCGGCGGACGAGGCGGGCGAGGACCCGCGGCCGGGGCGATGATGGTGTGGAGGCCGGGGTAGAGCTGCGCGCGACACACGAGCACGGCGCGCCGGATGATGGCAGCGGCCAGCGAGGCGCTCGCCTCCTCGTCCCGCCGCTCCTCGTCCTTCATCCGCCGCAGCTTGTCTCCGCGCGCCCCGAGCCGCGGGGACAGCTCCAGCAGCCTCCTGAGCCGGTCGCCGAAGTCCCAGGCGCCGTCCGAGGTCGACCCGTCTGGGTCCTCCTTCTCTTTCTTGAGAGGCGGATGACTCTCGAGCTTGAACTCGGTCTCTCCGTCCGGCGGGACGCCGTAGCTCCGGCGGCCGTTGGTGATCGTTCCGAAGCCGTTGACCGCTAGCACGGAGCTCTGCGGCCTCACCATCCTGAACCTGCGGAGCGCGTCGGTGGCGGCACGGGCGGCGGCCGGAGGAGGCTCCAGCGGCGCGTGCTCCGCACGGAGCAGGATCGTGGTCTCCCCGGACTGGAGACTGACCTGCACAGAGTCGGAGATCTAGATGAATAAAGTTACAAATTTCACATTCGGCAAAATGAAGCGTCAGGAGACCGAGGTCGCTATGAAGTAACCTGAAAGGATCGCAGCGACGGCTTGACGTCCTCAGCGGGCGGCGGTAGGGGCGGGGAGGGGGCCGGCTGGCAGGGCCGGGCGGCGGAAGAGCGCGAGGCGAGGCGGCACAGCGGCAGCTCATCGTCCGAGTCGGTGGCCGAGGCGGAGGACAGGGAGTAGTAGGAGGTGTCGGAGTCGTCCGCGGCCGAGGAGCGGGGGAGGGGCAGCAGCGGGCGGCGGGTGGTGTGCGCCTCGGGCGGGGCGAGGGGCTCGGCGTGCGCCAGGAGGGGGTCGGCGGCTTCGCGGTACCGGGGCACGCGGAGACGGAGCCGGCGGGCCACCTGCGCCATGACCGCGTCGCAGCGTGCGTTGATCTTGAGAGCCGCCACCCCGTCCTTGGGCGTCCACTGCAGGTTGACTATGTAGAGCGCCGGCCGCTGGTGGGGAGCGTTCTGCATCCGCCAGAGTCGCGGGTAGCGCCGCAGCACCTTGAGGCTGGAGCCGAGGCACAGCACCACGTCCGCGGCCGCCGCGTGCCGCAGCGCCCCGGACCAGTTGAGCGGCCAGGAGGCGCGGCCTCGCTCCCCGAAGTGGACGATGGTGTCTCTCAGCTCGCGGCCGCAGTCGTGGCACAGTCTCCTGGTGGCGTGCGCGTGCCTCGCCGTGCGCTCGGTGGTGTCGAAGGCCCGCAGGTAGACCCGGCGGCAGGCAGCGCAGCGCTCCGCGAACATGTCCCCGTGCAGCTCGGCGAGCGCGCGGCGCGGAAGGCCGGCGCGCACGTGCAGCCCGTCACAGTTCTGGGACACCACGAACTTGAGCGAGCCGCGTGCCCACAGAGCCGTCAGCGCCATGTGAGTGAAGGTGGGCTGGGCGCGGGAGACCTCCACTCGCCTGAGGAGCGGCGGACAGAACTCGTCAATACGAAACTTGACTCCAAGTGATCAGTACAGTGAGCCACACTAACCCTACGGTCTCTCCTCGCTGTAACCTTGTCCACACTCCTCGCGGCCCGCGGTAGTCGGGGATGTCTGCGGCCGTACTGATGCCGGCGCCCGTGTACACCTGGACACGCATACCCTTACATTACAAATACGTTACATGCTCAATTACATGTATCATACATACACCCATAATTAATGAATGAATTAACATTTTTTAAACCCAGACACAGATAGAAGCAGCTGCCAGCCCGTGTCAGTAGTGTGAGCTTCATAATTCCCTTCAGTATTTTTTGTTATGTTTATAAAGATAACACTCAACTTCTCTATCAACCTACCAGGAAGCATACTCTTGTTATCCATTAATATATATTGTATTCGCAAATTTAAACTATTTTAATCCCTCAATTTCATTTTGTTTAATTATGGAAAAGAAAGTTTTATGTTAAGAATCTTCAGTTATTTTATTTCCTTTGTAACATGTTAACGAGCCACAGGAGATTATATAGTAAAGTGAATATATATGGCAAAGTTGTATCCTCTAAACTCATACACATCCCTCAATGAAGATGTTCTTGTAACAAACATGTAACATCTACAGTTACATTCATTTATGACATATATCTATTATATACATGAACCATTTACATGAATTATCTCTTTCTAGATTTTCATCTATATTTATATTTTCATCTATATGTATATTTCTATACAGGCTGGAGTACTACTTTATACAATAATACCACAACCACAACTACTTTGGATGTGCACCGAACATATCAACATTTATAGTTATTTTCATTTTACATTGCTTTTTAATATCAATGTACAGCACACAAATACAAGTGATAGGGAGAAGGCTGATGTGTGAGTAATCTGACAGACCACGAGGTGTTTAGCGTCCCGGAGCGCGCGGGCCAGGCGGCGACACTTGTCCCTCAGTACGCGCGGGGTGTCCTCCACCTCCCGGGCTCGCTCGGCGGCTCGCAGGGCGCGCGCTCTCCTCAGGGCCGCGGCGGCCGCGCGCGCCGCCTCTCTCTCCGCCGCTCCCACATCCTCGTCGGCGGCTGGTCCCGCCGCGCCGCCGCTCAGCCGCGCGCTGCTCCGCACGCCCTCGCGGCCCGCCATGGAGGCGCCCGGCCCGCGAGCCTACAGTCCGCCGCCCTCCGCCCGACTGACCCTTGACCGCTCCCTGTCGCACATGTCGCCGGCCCTCCGGAGGGCACCAGATCCCCGTGCACTCGATCACGATGCCACTTGCAGCTGCACTTGTCACAATTCACTGTATTTATTCTGTGATACTGTCAAAGTTAACGATTGACGTTTTCAGACGCTGCCTAGGGTTGAATCGGTTAAGAAAGTGTAACGTAAAAGTTGTCGATATATCGGTTTTTTAACAATTTACGCCTTTACCTCTCGATGAAGATATAAACTAGCATTATATTATCGATGCAAAATTCAAAGTAATACTTAAATATAATAGTATAAAAAAATTCTTATAAAGATTACAAATAATTTATGTACATTCCGATTCTTTAGTGTCATTTCTCTTTTGTTATCTATTTTAAATTGTTTAATATTAAATACATTTATAAAAACATAAAAAAAAAATAGTTTTCTTTAGAAAAATACATTTCACGTAAAATAGTGTTACAAAAATAACTTAAGAGCTTGAGGTCAAACATAACACGGGCGTGCTTACGCTAGTCTTAAATACAGTTATTGAAAATCCCTTAAATATAATACCACTGATTTCATTGCACTTCTTCATTAAACAATTGTAAAAATAAAGTATAACATTGCATATATGTTTATTACTCAACGAAGTGATCTATCATCCCTGATATATGAAGCTATATGATCCTAATTTAAATGAGCAGAATATTTTTTATTAAGAAAATTACTATAATTATTAACTTTGTCACATATCAACAGAATTTTAATTATATTTGTAATAAAAATGACGATGTGATTAAAATGTCTACCCATTTCTTTTTATGTTATAAGTTTAAAATTAAATAACTACATAAACGTTAATTCTTTGTGCCAGTCGATATTCTATATTCATAGAAGGGTATGTGTACTTGTAACTTAATTCGTAATAATGTTAATTTTACATATTCTATCCACAACTTTTTGTTTCGTCTACATTTTTTGTTGACTTCTTCCTTATCATTGGATATAGATGACACTGACAGATGTTGACAATTTCTTTTGCTGACTTTGACAGGTATGGCAAGTTGTGAATTTGTGCACTTGTGATAAATCGTAAATAATCTTTAGTTTAATGAAATAATCTTAGTGTTTTAAAATACAATTACAACACCAGTGGCATAGGGTGTCGTATCAAGTGTATATTTCTAAATTTAATCGTGTTATTTTTCCTTTCAGTCTTAGTACGAAGGATCGGCTTCACCATGGTATGTTTTGTTTTCTATACATTTTATTTGAGTATATAATTAAATATTTTAAAGTCGATAATCTTCTCTATTGTCATGTTTTATATATTTACTTCTTTATTTGTTTACTAGTCATGTTTCTGTTTCGTTTATAATCTAACCTACTCGTGTAACGTTTGGTCAGTCACAACTCACATTCTTCTTTATATATTTATATTTATTTCCAGCCCCGCGAAATTAAAGACATCAAGGACTTCCTCCTTAAGGCGCGCAGGAAAGATGCTAAATGTAAGTTAGACTTGAGATTTGTTTTGGTGTTGGTCGATGTAATATTTGTATCGTGACGGTGAATGTTCGTTTCCAGCCGTGAAGATAAAGAAGAACCCTGAGAACGTGAAGTTCAAGGTCCGCTGCTCGCGGTTCCTGTACACGCTCGTCATCACCGACAAGGAGAAGGCGGAGAAACTCAAACAGAGTCTGCCTCCAGGTACGACCTCACACACACACACACACTCTAACCGTAGTTACGATGAAAAAAAAACTTAGTAATTTGGTTGATGTTGATACAATTGTTTACCAAATATTTGCAGTGTAGTAGGACCATGCAGTTCTATACATGCAAACAAACTTTGATTATCCATTGACTTAAAATTATCTTTTGTTGGTTACTAAATGTAAATGTGTTGGTGTGCAATAAAGAGTTAAATAAGTAAATAAATGTAGTAATTGACATTCACAAAACATGTAACCTTATAATATATTGTTGAATTATGTTCACAAATGATTATTATTTGTAATGATTGTTCATGTGTTGTTTATAAGTCAGTTTTGTGTGGTGGTATGTTTCATAGACAGCTTCTGATGTTGACTGATGTATTATTGGGTTCACTGTTAATATCTCTTAATACATTGATACGAGTTGAGTTTAATAATCTGATAAATATTAATATAGTATATGGAGACATGTGACTGGTTGATAATAAGCTGCGGCCGGTAATGATGTAGTTCATGGCCATAGTTTTAAACAATGATGAGTGTTCGAAGTCATAAATCATCAATCATGTTACAATTTTCATCTAATATTGAGTGACACTCCTTGGGTACTGTTAATGTGGTTGTTTTACATTTATATATGGAGTGTGTGTTGTGTTGTTATATCACATTGATGATGGGATTGTGTCTAAAGAAAAAAACAATAAGTAAAGTTGTTTTGCAATATTCATAAAGATTTCATTTGTAATTTTAGGAAAGTAAAAAAAAATAATCTCATTTTGTTGAAAATTACCCTTATCTTTCATTTATTCACTGTACAAAACATTTTAATATATTTTTGTATATATAAATGCAGTGAATACCGAGTGACCTCTGCCTGTAACCCGTCTCATGTTTCACACACCTGCAGCCTATCCATAGTATCTATATATATTCCATAGTCTCTGTGTATTCCTCGTCGAGCTCTTGAAGTAACTTCCTTACTCGTGCTTGTATTATTTTTTAATATATAATTGTTTGTTTCAGGTCTCCAAGTCAAAGAAGTTAAGTGAAGTGACCTAGACTAAGTTAATAAAAAACATGTAAAAAACAACTTGGCCTTTTATTGATGACACATTGAAGTAACAACACTTGTATCATGAGGAAATAAAATGTAACTTGTAGAAATGAACAAACTAATTTGTAAATGAAAGAAACAGATCAAAATAGATTTTCCATGATGAATAGTAGTTTTTAATATTTTAGAATGGTGATGAACAAATTAATTTAATAATAATAAATATATTTCTATGATTTACATAAAGTTAAAGTATTGTTTGCCATCAAACCATACACCGTTGGCTGATGATGACTAGTGAACTGCTTCTAAACTATGTATTTAGATGATTTGAGTTACATACTTAATAAATTATTTATAAATAACTGTTATTCAAGAAAGAGATTAAAAAATATCCTAAAAACACAACTCATACAAAGTTCACCAGAGGGAATTGTTTATAAAAAAAATATGTATTGTATTAATGAGTAAGAAGTTAGATTAGCTGTGTCAAATAATAATTAAAGTAAAAAACTTATTGCAATGATGTAAGGGTCTGTTGTCAACCGTGAAATATGAGCAAAGGTTGTTGTGTTCTTAAAAGGTTTTTTTTGACTTAAAAATAAAAAATTTATTTGCATAAAATAAGTAATACGTCAATATTAAATACACAAGCAATCATTTAACTTTAAATTAGTTTCATTTGCAAAATGGTATTGTTAGCTATAAATAATCGTATTTTGATTCTTTTAATAACAATTGGGGTAAAAAAAAAAAAAAAAAAACTTCACAAGAAGTACAGCAATCCCTTTTCTTAATATTTATTGGTTTGTTTAGTTAAAATCGGAGTTGGACTTAACAAGAAAAAATTTTGTTCTTTCAAACTACCAGGGACATCTATCGTCTATGTTACGTGACTTTATACAAGACACAATATGTGTGTTCCTGCGGGAGTTTAAGGGCTTTTGTAAATTATAAAGTTTCATATATTGTGGTGAAGAAGATTTTTTGTCTAGTTTTATTAAATAACATTTAGTAGAAGGTCGGTGAAAGACTCACGGATATTAATTATACTCACATGTATCCTCACAAACAGAGGATTTTTAACGCTTTACGTGTCCCATATTGAAGGAAATGAATTTATTTGAAACTATTTTTTTATTTGTGTTATGTTTTCCTGAATTTGTTCCACGATGATCAAATTTTTCTATTAAATTGTTTATTTTGTATAAAATATTGTTGCTTGGGTTCCAGTTTCCATGTTGATTGTCATTCTTCTCAATGTTCATCACTAAAACTCACAACATTTATATATCCTAACGTAAAATGAAACGACTTATTTAAAGTAATGAAGAAACACTTGACCTTTTTTAATATATTATGGATTTGATCTTGTTAAGTGCTGTCTCGTTCATCTTTGATGTTTTGGCTCATGAAAAACAATCACCAAAACCTGTTTACTACTTCTCGTAACAGAGACGTATGTCTTCTTTCTTTCCCATGAAGTTTAAGAACGCTAAGACTACGATGTTATAAAGCATAACGAACTTAATGAATGTCGCTGTCGTTTATAAGCAAGCGTCAGTACGTCGCTACTCTAGTCGGCTGTTGTTCATATGTAAGGTATAACTTAAAGCACTTTGTGTACTGGAGTGAAAACACGAGATTAAAGTTAACGATTTAATGAACTCCTGGTTCACTACAACACGTTACATGAGCAGGCACACAACGACGCTCGTAAATAAGAACATGTCGCCTTCTCGAAAAGTCGACTGCGGCACATAGAAACGAAAGAGTATTAAAACGAGAGTCATAACAACGAGAGAAAACATTCACCGGCGCAGCGTAACGAGGGGAATACTTGGTGAAGTCAGTTTGAGGCGGGCGGCCGCCGGCGAAATGGAAAATAAAATTATCATAGCGAGCTGGGAAACTTGCCGACTTGATTACCTCTCCGCAATCTTGTTTCTCGTGTACTTACTTAGTGTTCCTGAGCTCTACACACCTCCACCTCTCGCCGCGCCGTTAAAAGTTACGGCTCCACTCTTATATCCCTAACGTCGCTGTTTACTCGTCTGCGGTGTAATTAATATTCTCATATTCATTTACCTGTAAAGAGGCTTTACATTGTTGGTCGGGGAGACGCTAATGCACTTTTATAAAAGATACCGAGTATAGGATGGAATGGATTTGAAAAACCTAGTGACGTGTACAAACATAAGTTATGAGTAAACCTGAAACTAACAATAATACTTACGGAGGTTGCCTGAGTTATAGAACAATTTTTTGGTTTTGTTTACGTTCTCAAGAACTGATCAATCAATTTCGAAAACATTGACCTAAAAAAATATTTCCAAAGATCACATTTGGTGAAAATATCCAAGAATAAATATATAACAATTACCGTAGACTTGGGTACTTCTTTTTATATATATGTTAAAATTCTTCGGAATATTCTTTTAAGTAACTCCTGATACGTTAATAAACGTTCGAACATAATCTATTGGCATTGACATCATCAATAGACCAGTCCCGATAGCTTTTCAAACATAATTAAATTATAGTAAAATGGAACTCATTAGAAAATAAGGGGAATATTATAAAATTTAAAGGAAAAATAATTTACGGGCGATCTGAGGTCGGGAAGGGTATGGGGATGGGTATTTAAGGGTAAAAAATGGGTTTTCTCGATTTCCGGCAAAACTAAAAGTCCTACGGAAAAATGTTATATGGCAAAGTTGTAGGTAATAAAAAGATCTAAAACTTTTGTACTAATATTTTTTTCACATAACCTGAAAATTTATGAGATAAATTTGAAAACCAAGTTTTTGGTTTTTTATTTTTATCTCTTATAAAAAACAATTTTTTGCAACGAAATTTTGGTGAAAACTTTACTTTTAATGGTACAAATGCACTGTAATTTATTTGATTAGATATATTTCTAATTTATTTTTAATAGTTGTGTACTCTGGAAATTCTCCCGATAGTTCCTCTTTTAGGTAATTTACAGAAAATTGACATTAAGCTGCTAAAACTATTAAAAATAAATTGAAAGAACATTTTCAAATCGATGTCGAGTTGAATCAAGAAACATGATTATTTTATCCCAAAATGGTACTGCAAGTAAGAAATTTATATTGTTTTCTTCGCCATGGAAAATAGAGATTTCAACAAATGGAAAACATACCAATTTTTGAAAATAGCTGATATTTTGATGGATGATTTTTCGATTGAAAATGAGGCTGATTTTTCGGTATTTATTCAAAATAAGCTGAAAAAATAAATATATCTAATCAAATAAATTACAGTGCATTTGTAACATCAAAAGGAAAGTTTTCACCAAATTTTGTGACAAAAAATTGTTTTTTATAAGAGATAAAAATAAAAAACCCAAAACTTGGTTTTTCGAATTTATCACATAAATTTTCAGGTTATGTGAAAAAAATGATAGTACAAAAGTTTTAGATCTTTTTATTACCTACAACTTTGCCATATAACCTTTTTTTCGTAGGACTTTTAGTTTTGCCGGGAATCGAGAAAAGCCATTTTTTACCCTTAAATACCCATCCCCATACCCTTCCCGACCTCAGATCACCCGTAAATTATTTTTCCCTTAATTTTTAAAATATTCCCCTCCTTTTCTAATGGGTTTCATTCTAATATAATTTATTTTCACTTTTCATCATTTTTAGATGCATCTGCACTGGCCTAGAACTTCTATTGAATTTTAATTCTATTCTATTTTCTTTTGCACCAGTTCACTATGACGTGTTGGTAGTAGTGTGTAGTGTGTGTCGCGAGGTGGCGCCACCCGTCGGTCGTGTGTCCTCATGTTAGAGGAAGTCAGTTCTTCGTTTCCTCCGTCACTACTGAGGGAGCTTCATTAATATTAAAGCGTTACTTTTCATTTGTATTACCATATTATTATAAGTTGTTGTTGCACTGGGAACACTTTAAATACATTTTATGATATATGACTATAAAGTGTCTTCATCGTAACATTTCCTTAGCAATTCAC